GCTTTGTGCTCTGCAAAGATGTAGCTTGTGGGAGATCCACGAGGGGAAACCTTGGGGAGCCAGCGCTTTGATTTCAAAGCTCAAGGCAGGCCCGGCAAATGGGGGGACCCCCACAGTCCCCCCTGCAAAGTTTCCTCCCTCCCTCCGGGTCAAAGGCATTCGCTCTTCTCTGCGATGGGGGAGGCACGAAATGAAGTTTCATAGGAATACATTACTGCATTCCTTGAGTCTCTTTTTGGCCAAAGACGACTTCCTACCCCCTCTTTTGAAATAGAAATTATTCTAAATTTGGCATCATGGTTTGAAACATCGCCAGGCGGTTTGTTTTTGTTGCGCTCCCCCCCGCCCCAGGCCCAGAACTAATATGAAGTCCGGTTTGGGATTATTGTGATCAGACAACTATAGACAAATTTTATTAATTCAACGTAATTTTCTATCCTTTGTTTTTTTTCTCCCTCCCATTTGAAGAAATCAACTTCAGCCCCTGAGCAAATATGGGGAAGCAGCATCTGTCTACTGCCAACTATTGTGCCTTTTCAAGAAATTATGTCATTGAATTCTCACAGCTACTTGACACTTAAAACTGCCTTGCCCTTTGGAACCTGGCCGAGTTGGGTCTCTGAAACTCAACCCTGCCATTTACTTTTTGTAGGTCCTTGGGTGGAAGAACCTGACGCTTCAGCTCTTAAAAGGGTTGAAAGAAATCTTTACAGTGTAGAACTGTATCTGACTCAAGAGTAGAAACTTGCTACATACCCATGGTCACTAGCTCCTGTAAGCCAGCTTTGGGCATCTTTTACTGCTTCTGAAAGGGTTGCCTTGGTGATTTTAAAACAGGAATTGTTAAGGTGGATAAAACATTTACAATCAGTTGTGTCACAGAAGAAACAAGGAAAACATTTAATTTTAACGAGTAAACAAGATGTCAGCTACAGAGCATGAAAAGCACAGAAGACTGCCTTGTTTTAGTCAAGGACTATTTATTGAGTATTATGTTCACTGTCTCCTATGCAGCAAACAACAGGAATAAAAAATTCATAGCCCTTATCTTCAGTGACTGCTTTGTAAGCCAAAGGCAGAACATAAACACAAAGTAAACAGCCTAAAGCAGACACAAGTCAGGTGTATAAGAGTGTAAAGGAAAATAAGTTATGAACAAGGCAAAGCTCAGGGAGAGAGGGGCAGGACATCAAAGAGGTAAAGCTGAAAAACTATCACAATCCTAAAATTAGCAGTATCTTCCAAAGATAAAACCATGAAAGCCAGAAATGTATTATTTTTACATGTATGTGTGAATTCCTATATGTCTGTGTGCCAGTGCCTGTGGAGGCCAGCCTGGAGCTGGAGTTACAGGCAATTTTGAGCTACCCAGTGTGGGTGCTAGGAACCAAGCCCAGGTCCTCTGTAATAGCAGCAAGTGCCTTTAACAGCTGCGCCATCTCTTTAGCCCCCAGAAATATGTTTCTAAGTTTTAAAAATTGTGTGTAGGGGGCTGGAGAGATGGCTTAGAGGTTAATAGCACTGGCTGCTCTTCCAGAGGTCAATTCCCAGCAACCACATGGTGGCTCACAACCATCTATATATTAAAAGTACTTCCTAAGACCAGCAAGATGGTTCTTTGGGAGAAGGCACCTGCCAAGGCTGACAACATGAGTTCTATCTTTACGACTCACATGTTCCTACTTAATTTTTTAAGTACTTTCTAAGCTTCCAAGTGTGCAAATGTTAGTTCATCAATTCTTGGCTCTTTGTATTCCAGGGCAAGGGATTCATATCACTCTGACCATTTATCCTTTTTTTTTCTATATAGTGAACATTTTAATTTTAATTTTAAACATTTCAAGACTGTGACTGACACAATTTCCAACCAATCTAATTCTTGCCTATCTACCATCATGTTTTCCCAAGGTTTTCTTAGGACATAGTCAGAAAATAACTGCACTGACATATCACCTATTGTTTTGCTGTTGGTAAAAACTGTCTTACACGGACCAGTATACTAAAGAAAGAAAATTCAGTGTTTGTTTTTAAGTACTTGTTGAACTCAAAGTTGTCAAAAACTAATTCTTTGTTTCTTTGTTCTTAATGTCAAAATACTAGGTTTCCTGAGCAGTGTTTTCATCATGTTTGGCTTGGCTAATTTCTGCTGCAGTTAAATTCCTACCACCTCAATCTTTTTTTTAAATCCCTATTTAGAAAACAATTGTAGGAAATTATAATCTTAATCACAAAGCCTATACTGTGAGTTCAGGGAAAAAAAAAAAAAAAGAGCATCCAGCCTCCTCCCTTGCCCCCACCCTCTGCTCAAACTGGTGGCCCATCCATCAGCCTGAGACAGGACTCTGTCACTCCACTAGCAATTTGGGGGATATGCTGAGACATTTGACCACTCTAAGCATTTTCACTATTGTAGTTCTTTTAAAAGTTTTAAACTCTGGGGCTGGTGGAAGGCTCAGTGGTAGGTTGCTTGCTTAGTGTGCACAAGCCCTGGGTTCGTCCCTAGCTCTGAAAACCTGTCTTTAATTCATTATTAATAATAATAAACTAGAGAGATAAAAGCAAAATCTTGATGGCTCCATTCAAACAAATGGCCATTCTTCATACTGCAGGGATCTTTTTAAGGATGCTATTTGCAGTTGATTGGATGCCAGTGTCATAGGCAGGTCACAGGAGCCTGGGAGGCTCTCCACAGGAGTCTCTTTCAAGAGGTATTAGTCTCCCAAATGTTAAAGCTCTCCTTTGGTGATAGCTTCTCACTTTGTAGCCCAGGTTGGTCTCCAATCTGTGATTTTCCTGCCTCTCCTACCAAGCGTTGGAACTCCACGTTTATGCTCCCATTCTATCCTTTTTTGTTCATTGTTAACATTTTGATGACAAGTTCTCTCCTGGCCTGGAACTCACAGAGATCCTCCTGTCTTTGCTTCTTCAGTGCTAGGACTAATTGTATAGCTACCATGCCTGGCTCTTCGTGCATGCTTAAAGTGGCCCCTGTTGATTGTGAAATACTTTTTTTTTTTTATTTTTGAAGATTTATTTATTTTTGTGTGTATGAGTATTTTGCCTGCAAGTATAATTAATTCACTGTTGTTTAAATGAGATTCCCTATCTAAAAAAAAAAAAAAAAAAAAAAGCTGTATTGAGAATGAACATAGCACAGACCAATAAGATGTGAACTCTCCCCCTCCTCCTCCACTCTTCTTTGTTTGTTTTGGTTTGCTGTTGTTGTGTTTTGTTTTTAAATATGGTTGCTTGGTTGATTTGGTTGTTTTTTTGAGACAGGGTCTCACTGTGTAGCAATGGCTGGTCTAGAACTCGCTATGTAGACCAGACTGGCCTTTAATTTACAGAAATTAAGTTAACTTTCTGCCTTCTGAGTACTAGTTGCTTTGTTTTCTATTTTCATTTGTGTACATTTGTTCTACATGGTACTACATTACATAAGGGCATTTTCATACAAGTATAGAGTATATTTTTATCTTATTTCCCCCAAGCCCTTCCCCCCTCCACTTCCTCCTATCCCCTTTCTCCTTAATTCCTTTTGTTCCTCTCCACAGTTTCACTTCTACCTTTATACATGCATAATTTCAAATATCTATATAAAAATCACCTAAGAACCACAAATGAGAGAAAACATGCAGTATTTGTTTTTCTGAGACTGACTTACTTTACTTAATATTGTATCCAGTTGCATCTATTTTCCTGAAAACAGTATTTAGCTTCATTCTTTTTTGTGGCTGAAAAAACTTCATTGCTAAAATAAACATCGATGTGGCCAGTGTCTCTGTGACAGGTCGGCTTGGAGTCTTGTGTGGGTAAGTGGCCTGAGTAGTACAATTTGGTCCTAAGTCTATATCCGTTTTTAATACTTTGAGGAACCTCCATACTGATTTTCATAGAAGCTACACTGATTCATTCCCATCACCATTGTACAGGGTTTCCCCCACTTTTTGTTTTGTTTTTTTTTTTTTTTTCTTTCTTTTATACAAGCTTTTCACTGTATAGTCCTGGCTGGCCTGGAACAGACTATATAGTCCAGGCAGACCTGAGATTCATCGAGATCTGCCTGCCTCCGTCTCCCTCCTAGAAGAGTATGCTCACAGCACCACCAGGCCCAGAGAGGTTTCCCTTTCTGACTGCCAGTTGTTTTGTTTTGTTTCTGATGCCTCCCAGGCTGGCT